ATGTAACCTATATGTTCTTTGAGTCACATATTCATTACAATGACCACAAAATCGTCGCTTTCTGTTCATAATAAGAATTATTTACGCTTCAAAATTTAATACTAAGCAGAGCCTACATTTTGCCTACATTGGAATGTCGACCTTTGAGCTCGTCCCAGGCCTTACTGAGGATGGGCAATCCTTATAAGGTGTAATCATGTGATAAAAAGTAAACAGAGGCGATTTTAAAAAGTAGGCTCACATAGAATTCTCTTTGGATGCTGTTACAGTTGGTGTGTATGCAACTCTACATCAAAGAAAAATTATGGCTCGAGGATTGAATAAATCTCAACGAAGAATCAGAGATGCTTCAGTAGCACGAGAAAATGCTACTACAGGGGGTGTGAACCAAGAAACACCGCAGTCGGTTCGTAGAAGGCTACCGGTACCGATTGGAATCACACCGCCTTCTAACCAGACCAGTCCCAGTAGCTCGAATAGTTCTTCCCCGATTCCAATAGAAACGCSGAACAGAAGTGGGCAAGTTSTAGAGAACCAGGAAGAGGAAAGAGAGCGGAATGAAGAACAAGACATGGAGGAATCCAGGAGCACCAGCGCTACGAATGCAATGGCCATGGATTCCTTCATCACGGAGCAACGGGCATTTAATGAACGTGTTCTAAGATTGCTATCGAACAACTTAGCAAACAATTGCAACGAACAGGAAAAGGCTAAAAAACAGCGTTTGCCTCTAAAACTGACGGTAAGTTAATGATATATAACCTCAAAGTTAAGTTTTCGCTTCTCAATTAGCCATGTGGTATCGCTGGCTTATACAAAGAGGGTCTGTTTGTTTTATTTCCCGCCTTCTAGTACCAAGCTACATGACGTAGATTATGTATTTGAGATTATGAAACTTGAGTTGCAAGCTGAAAACAGCTAGTTGAAATTATTCTTGAAAAATGTATCACCACAAATGTCYTTCAATGGTTTTCCTTTATTGTATGYATGTTAATAAATTAAATCAAACTTCTGTAATCGTGCTTAGGGTTGTTTGTTTTGTTTCCCGCCTTTTAGGAATCTGTAAGATCAGTTTACAAGAGCATGGAGGAAGCTACGTCAGTGGAGAACGGAAATGGCAGCGTAAAACTTTGGGATTTTGAAAAACGGTAGAGGAATAATTTTTTTTTATAGTTTTCATTGTGTAATATCATTGATCATTCATCCCTTTCTCAGAAAAAAGGTTTTTTTTTGATAATATAATGGTATTACTAGCTTGCTAGCTGCGATATGCCTTTTTGACTTTGAGAATTTTTGACTTTGACTTTGCTTTGGACACACAATGCGAGATAAAAGAGAGAGGCAATGGGGATTTTTCACACCTTGCGTGACATTTCAAATACTGCTTCTCTGGTCTCGAAAATATTATAGCTGGAAAGAGCATCCTAAAATTAGTAAATTTTTGAAATTTTGAGGGAAATCYAATAAATACGGATGAAGTTATGAATCTTTAAAGATAACCTTTTCTATAAAAAAATGTATGGAAAATCGTCTTGGTGTACAAGCTGTTGCCCACCACATACATTTCCTTATAAAAAAGGTCAATTTTAAA